TTTAGGATGTGGAAAGCTTCATTCAGTTCTCTATTTGTTTCCGTCTCAGAATATGCCACTGAAGTCTGACTAAACGGAAGCATCTACTCTATACCACAGACAATTATGACCATAGTCTAAACTGCTGCCTTTTGAGATTGAAACAATTTTGGTGCATTTTGGAGGATACATCTTTTGTTTGGGAGATCTGCCTTGGATCAATGGGAGACTGAATGATTTTCTTTAATCATGCTCTTATTTCACAACTCATAAAGATTGGGATATAACAATAATAATAACCATAATTATTTGTTAGGGCACTTTTCAAACGAGAGGCACAACGAGCTTTACTGTGTTACAATGCCAAAAGAAAATGATATTAACAGTGTTTAAGACAGCTGTATCAGATAAAAGCAACAAACAGTTATATACAATATAGTTGGTAGTCTTTGTTTTGGTTCACATACTATTTTTGAAGTATAATTGCAGCTTTATAGAGACTGCACTTCCCTATTCATTAAAACATAGCAAATATTTGAAAGTGTCTGACTGCACCCATGGGTGATTCCAATCCCCGGTGACAGGGACCCTGCAGGAGATCGCGAGATGAGGGGAACTGGGACCATCCCACTGACAGCCTTCTGTGGGGGATCATAACTTCAGCAGTGGTGTAGTGGTCAGAAACCGTACAAAATAGTACTGTCGCCCTGCCTGTTTTTCCACCGCTCGCTTCACCGAAAGCCCTTCTGCACAACGTATGAGTTGAAAAGGCATGTTGTTGTCACGTAAGGGCCCTGATCATGTTGCACAGACATTTTAATTGCATTTTGTGTCTGTTAAGAGGAGCAAAAGGCACTCTTTAGGATATGCCCCCAAAAAGTGTATTATAACTAACTGGGAGCTCTGGCCATTAGCTGCAGGAACTCCAGTTTGCTAGCACCAATTCTGGTCGTTCTTTTTCCTATGGACAGTACTCGGTGACCTCTAGTGATCAAGACTAGGGTAAAAATCTGCCGAAGTTCCCCTGCTGCTTGAAGTAAGGATCACATTAACATTAGCCACAGAAGAGGTTATACTACAGGGTGAGACAACATCATAATTATGCATTTTGAGTGAACTATTCCTTATTCCTTATTTAATCCACATATGAAAATTGGAACTATTCTCTCACTTTGAAAGTATGGACCAGTAGTTTATTTTGTAAACTGCCATGTTGAACAGCTGATTTACACTGTAGGCCAGAATGTCCCATCATTATAAAATTAATATTATTTTTCAAGGGGCAGTTTGCAAATTTACTAGTTCAACAAAGGCCTAACGCATTAAGGGGAGATGAGAGGGGATTTTGGTGGGTATGCACCATGCCAACTGCGAAATAAGTAGGTATACGCTGTCTTACCCTGCACTACATCACTGAACCTAAGCCTCCGTCATATCAGCTATCACTGCTGGTTAGATATTTATTGTGATCGTGTATTTACTGTGGTAAAACTGCATTCCCCTATAGCAAAATAATAATAATTTTAGTCAGCAGATATAATTTTGCATTTTTTAGGCATTTTGAAGTTTCTACTTTTTGCTTCCATCTTGGGATTTCATTTATGTGAGTAGAAAGATTTTTTTTCACTTACTAGAAAAATAGCAGTATTACTCCCAAATACACGTTTAATTTGTTCCTGCATGGCGCAGTCACAGCCACAAAAAAGTGAGTGAAGAAAAGAAAACAAATGGGGAAACAAAACACTGAAATGTACCAATTTGGCAAGTAATGTGGTAAACACTACCAATATGGACCACAAGCAAAGAAGCAAAATCACTAACGACTAGATGCTGGCTCTAAAACTCCTCTCACTTCAGAATTCAAAATTCTCTCTTAAAACATGACGTTTCTTGGTGCTTTCACCATGTTACAGTTCGGTAAGCCAACTCATGTAAAGACGTTATTTGCTGTGAATGATTTCTGACATCATCATTCAAAATCTCCCCTCAAAGTAAACGTAGACACAGAGATAGTGTAGTGTAGTGTGAGCTAATGAAATGAGATCTGAGCAGCAGAAGCAGCAAGGGTTTGCAGCAGTGTTACATCAGAGCATGGAGATAAGCCGGGCAGTAGCATCAAAGCTGAGCAAAAATATATCTTGCATGCAGCAAATAATTATCAACATGTTATGCACGTTTAAACTCACGTAATCGTGACACGCAGCAGCTAATGCTCTGTGATTTAACGTCTTATGTATGCAGCAGATGACAGATGAGTGTGGCTGAATGTAGCAAAACAGAGCAGAAGATTAGAAGTATAGATATCAACAAAGTAAAGAAACATACATGAACTCATTTTTTTTGTTGAAATATTTTCTAATGCTTATCTAAATATATAAAGTGTGTTAACCCAACACAGTGTGAGTGTGTCTACCCATCCAGTGTGTGAGAAAGGCCGCATTTAGTTTTCTTTTAAGGCCAGTATTACAGGAAAAATAATACTGTGACTGGATTGTATGCAAGAAAAAATATTCACATTTGTAAAAACCAAAATTAGAGACCCATGTGAGTCTGCGGGTAACCTCCAAAAACCAACATCATGCCACAAAATCAAACAAAACTCAAACATGCATTCATCTATTCTGTGAACAACTTATCCTATTCAGAGTCCTACACTCCAACATGGAGATTCACCACTCAGTAAAGCAATAGCATGCAGTTGCCAAACAACCAAAGCGAGAACAATCCCTACCCCAAGAAATTAATTCCCCATGAATAAATGCACTGCCAATGAAAATGCAGCACACAGGCAGCAGCATGAAAGCAGAAATTAGCAGCCAGCTGATGCCAAGAAATTGAACACCCAAACAGCAGCAGCCCCGTATAGTTTATAAATATTGTCCTGTCAAGGCCGCAAAAACTGACTGAACAGAGTTTGCACATTAACACACAGGCAGAAAATTCTTACCTTGGACAGGTGAAGCAGCTGTTCTTTAGTGTCTGAGAAGGAAGGGAAGGAGTGTGACCCAAAGGTGCTGCAGGTGAGGATACTCGATCTGAACTCCACCTGTGCGCCTAACACGATGCGTGGCCCTCAAACAGAGTGACAAACATGGTGCAAATACGTTATTTTGCCTTCCATAATCGACGGGATCGGACTGTTGTTAGGTTAACCTGCTAATGAAACGCTGTTTAGTTACTGATAATTGTTTTTAGCACGCGTTTTGCAACTGAGCAATGCAGCAGCAACGCAACCAGCGCTCAAACAGCCTGCCATGCAAAGGTGAAGGGGTGCGTTGGATATGTGTTACAGTGAGTAGAGTTTGTCGTGTGTGTACTTAATTGCAATTGTCAGTAGGCTGCTAGCTCGCACACTGTTCTCCAGTCGATGGGTAACAGCTATTGATGCCGTGTACATTTTAATAAATAAAAGTCAGGAAGATTATTTTGTATTTCTAGCCATAAGGAATGTATATCATTGAAATAATTTTCTCTCTCAGACCCAGGGTAGAACATAGACAATAAATAAAACATAGACAAGAGAAGACAAAAATAGAAAATGTCTGGGTGGACTAAAGAGTTAGAATATGAAAATGTTGTTCATTTCTAAAGTTTTCCTGCTGGAGATGTCCCCTACTTCCCTGTAAAGTCCATTCTCCCCTTCAGGTTTCTATCACACTTGTATAAGTTGCATACTGGACCAGGAATGTGAAAACATCCTTCTAGTGTCAAACAAACATCATTCTGCACAGTGGTGCTCCAACATTCAACTGTAGGAACAAGAAGAAAAACATATTTTTGAGTGGAGGGAGACTTTAAATAAAGTGTATGAGGCGAAGTAAAAAATATAAGATAAGATATACATACATAAATACAGATGTAAAAAGTGTGTGACTAACATGGCTGGGGGATGAAACTGTAGCACCTCCTGGTGGTGTTGAACTTTATACAATTTAGTCATCAGTAGTCTCCAAGTGAAGTGGGTTGGAAAGAGTCATGTAAGGCCTTTCACAAGCATGGACGATAAATAATAATCAATAATGTCATTTATCTTTGGTCGATAAATTGTGGCTAGTTATACAGTACAGAAGGAAAAATATATTTGAATGTACTGTAGTCTGGGACTGTTGTTTTGCTTGTTTTTCAGTTGCCCCCCCCAGGCCTACTCACACTTGCTCCATCAATCACATCATGAAACTTTACTAAATATCTCAAGTGAGCCAGTATGATTACAAATATTCGCCTGTTTGAAATCGATATGGAGACGGAGGTTAGGGTTAGCGGAGTTGAGGGTTGCAACCAGCTGTGCAAACACAATCCGGATGATTTATGAACCCACCTGTGGGTTGCTAATGGTCCAAAATGGCACTGGAGTCTCTGCAGCTCTGGAACCACGACCCGCTGATTAACCGCTGCAACACAGACTGATAAATGTATAGTACAAAGAGAAAGGTAGGTGGTCTGACAGACAGATAGAGACAGTTCCTGGATTTTTTTCTTCCATTTTAATCATCTATTATCATTTTTTAGCACTTTGTATACCCCCATGAAACTACAACTATATACATGCATATACACTTCGTTTGGTATCTGGCAGCAACCTCTGCACTACAATAATATTTTGCAGTGAGTGCCTTTGCGTGTGTATATATAACAGAGAGGAGAAGGAAAGATGAAGAGATAGATAAAGCATGAGTGTGTGTGCATGCAAAGGGAAGAGTGAACAGAGGGCATGCAAATCCACAGCTGGAGCTGAACTAAAATGTGTAGTTGTTCTTGAGCTCTTCTTCTTAAGTCAAAGGATTTTGGAGACAACATCTCAGCAGAAGAAACCCCCCAATGAAAACACACCATATTTGGTTAAGTGGTATTAATGAGGCCCTTCAGGTGGTAGGTTTCAACCACAGGGAAAAGCACACAATCTTAGCTTTAATGGCTGCCACTGTTACCAGTCTCAACTTAATTACAACATCTGGGGGTTATTTAAAGAGCAGAATGTGTTAGCCTCATAACATAATAATTATACCTCTGGCAATCACTGATACGGTTAATCAAAATAATTTTATTTAGCAGTGAATGTTAATGTTGCAAATTCAAAACAATATCAGAGGCCTGACTTTTTAACTTGGATGATCTAATATGTAGGAAAAAACAAAAGTAATAATCAATAATATGTAGAAAAGATGTGCATAAACAAGACAAACAAACATAAATACACAATAGATAGCAGAATGGGGTTATAATTGAATTCAATGTTGCTGGAATGTTTATAACAAAGAGGCAGATAAGTGCATGAGTTAATTTTAAAGAGGGAAATTCTTAACAAGTTTATCACAATTTCAGTGTGGTATAGATAAATACATCAGCTGCATGAAAGCATAATAATACAATTGTAAAACAAACACTCCAAAACCAAAGAAATTCAGCCGCTATTAGGACTTAATTCACAGTCGATACCAATGAAAATACTGCACAACAATCACACACAATATCTACTGAGAAATACAAAATTCAATGGTGCAAATACATAAAAGGACCATGTGATGGCAGAATGGGACCATGAGTGATTCAATGCTGCTGGGAGGTTTTTCTGTAATAGCAACTGCTGCCTTTGTTGCAACCTGTTGATCATGGAGTGTTTTAAAATCCAGTAATACCCCAGAGAATAGCTGACTTTGGGTCTAACAACAGGTCTGTCTCTGAATCTGTACATCCATCTCCACAAGGGTTGTAATTCCATCTCTTTCCAGTCATTGTTTATGTGTCTATATCACACCCATCTTGTGTGGGTCAGACAGCCATTTCAAGAGCAATGCATTCTTGACAGTCAAGGCAAAAACTTCCAAGACCATCTCTAAGGCCAAAGTTCATTGTCAATGCCATGAGGAGAAAACTTTTAACAAGCTCTAAAAAGAGCACTCGTTTAGAACAATTTGATTACTTTTTCTTGTCAAGCACAGATACATTTTTTTAAAGATTTGCTCAGTGTGCATGTGTGTAAACTCTCATGTGATTCCTCAGTTTAGTGATGGTTATGAACCCTTTTCCACAGACGCTGCATTTGTACGGTCTCTCCCCCGTATGGATCCTAATGTGTATTTTTAAGTCTGTACTTTGGGCAAAACAGTTTCCACAAGTGTCACACTTATACGGTTTTTCACCTGTGTGGGTTCTAATGTGCTTCTTCAAAGTCGTGCTCAGTGTGAATCCTTTGCTACATTGAGGGCATTTGTAAGGCTTTTCGCCTGTATGCATGCGGATGTGGTTCTTCAACGACGAGGAGTCTGTAAACTCCTTCCCGCAGTGGCTGCAAGTGTAAGGCTTCTCACCTGTGTGAATCCTCATGTGCTTCTTCACATTGGCGCCACAGCTGAATTTTTTCCCGCAGATTTCACAAGCGTACGGCTTCTCACCCGTGTGAGTTCTCATGTGTTTAGTTACCGCACTCCCCTGGGCGAACAGTTTCCCACATGAGCCACATTTAAAAGGCTTTTCTCCGGTGTGAGTTTTCGTGTGCCGTTTCAAGGTCGACTTCTGGATGAACATTCTTCCACAGTAGCTGCATTTAAAAGGCTTTTCACCTGTGTGAATTCTCATGTGAACTTTCAAGTTTTTCAAGTAAGAAAAAGGTTTGCTGCAGTCATCACACTTGTAAGGTTTGTTTTTAGGGTTTGGCTCATCAGCTGATCTTGGATCAACATCCATATTTTTCTTCTTTGGTATTGTCTCACTGATTATAACTGATGTTGCAGTCCTTGGGTTATTATTTGGTTTTGGCTCAGGATTTGTTGTTGATGGGTTGCCAGAGTTCTTCTTTGGCTTTGGCTCAGAAATAGTTGTTGGTGATGTTTTCTCTGCATCATGTTTCTTCTTTGGTTTAAGCTCAGTATTTGGAATTGATGGGTTCCCAGAATTCTTCTTCTTTGGTTTTGGCTCAGAATTTGTTGTTGATGGGTTCCCGGAGTTCTTCTTCTTTGGCTTTTGCTCAGAATTTGTTGTTGGCGGTGTTTTCTCTGCACCATGTTTCTTCTTTGGTTTAGGCGCAGTTTTTGTCATTGGTGCTGCGTCTCCATGTTTTTCTCTCCTGTGGTTCTGGTTATCTGCTACACGAGAAGTGTCAGAGAGGAGCCGCTGGTTACTGTTCAGTCCTGATACTCCAGAGTTTGTCCTGTCACATTCAGATCTCACCCATTCTATACGGATTTTGTCAAGAGGATCATCCTCTGCTGTATTCTGTTGAGTGTGTTCAGGATGTAAAAGCACAGATTGGTTATTGAGTTCAGTTTGATCACAACTGTGTCTCAACATAAAGGTATCAGTCTCCAGCTTCAGTACAAGCTGCGCTCCCTCCTTAATGGTGAAGAGATGCTCCTTTTCTTCTTTAATCTGCAGAGGCTCTGGGTTCAGACTGGAGTTCCTCTCCTGCTTACAGAGCTTCTGGTTAAGAAGAAATCCCTTTTCTTCCTTACAGACATGTTGCTGTGGGAGCTCTGAATGGACAAAGCAAGGAACATCAGAATTGTTTTTTCTCCTCTATAAAGCACTGTGTAGCTTTATTTAGAAATATACTATAAGATAACTTATGGTGTATGACTTATGACTCGGTATTTAACTACTGTGACAGTACAGAAGTACCAGTAGTCTGTAGACAGCTTAACAAATCAGAAGTAAAATATAGAAGTCAATATACGGTCCACTACATCTTAAGTTATCCTTTAGAGACTGTGCAGAAATTACTGGGCTGGGGTCCGAAATGGTATGGTTTTGCCATAAGTTATACGTTTTCCTTTGGCTGAGGAGCAGGTAGTCTGACTTTTTTGGGGGCCTTTCATTAATTTCCTTCCCAGTTCAGATTTATATTTTACACTGAAGTCCTGTATTTTGCCATATGCAGTTTTTTTTTTCTGTATGAAGGCTTTATTTTTTCCTGTCATGTTCAAATTGTAGCAAATGCCAATATGTCTGTTTTAGAAACAAAGATGCAGATCGATCTTTACAGTTATTAGTAATAAGATAAGATGTAACTGTATTTATCCCGAGGGGGACAGTTGCAGTAGAAGGTAGTAAAGGCTGCAAATATATGGAGTATAAGTATAAAATATCTATAAGGTGCAAATCCAACATATACGCAAAACTTAAACCATAAATAGGTTGACTGTGAGGATGATAGATATGTAGTACAATATCAAATCTGATGTACAGGTAAATGCATATGTTATTATTAATTTGTAATGATTGTAATATCTGGAGACAGTAAGACCCAGAGAGATTAAACAAACAGAGCAGCAAAAGAGTTGAAATGGAGGCAGTAGCCTGCAGTCTATCTCTCAACATGAACTAGATGAGTTTCTGCAGCACTCTCTAGCGCATTGTGTTGGTAGCTGTCTACTGCCAAAGATCCTCCTGCAAATGAAAAAAACAGGCACTACCCTACAGTCGCTCACTGCTTCCGCATCATGACAGTAAGCAGAACTGCAGTAAAGTTAGGCTACAATATAAGCCTATAATAGAGACTAATGTAAGTTCAGCACCTGATGAAGCTCGTACAATGTGTGACAATGATAATAATGATGATATAATACTAGTGGTTTAGAGGTGCATGTGTGATGAATTCATGACACTGTAGGTGCCAGAAAATGCCGTAGCCGTATGTAATGGTCATGTTAAAAGATGGCTGCTCTGGAGGACCTTGTCAGTGTGACACAAACCAATGTGATATTCAACTGACTTTTTTCATGGCAGGTACTCTCATGCAAGATGATGTTTAAGGGTATATCTACATCTGTTTACATGCACACAGTTCACAGTGATGGAAATCAACAAAACAGATCAATGCATGGATTTTAAATCTGAGCAAAAAGTCAATATTTCTGCCTTTGGTCTTAAGTTTTAGTCTCACATGAATTAAGAGAATATGAGCCCCAGTTCCTCTCAAATAAACAGTGTGATGCATCCATCAGGGACACAGCAAATGTTAGATTTGGTAGGTTGCTGTGAGAGGGAAGCTATTAAAAAAATATATTTATAAAACAACAAATATGACCTTAGGGTGGGTCTGATGTTGACTACATAGGAAGATATTTTGATATTGAGTCACTGAGTTACATAACCTGCTGTTGATGAGTTCTGGCCTACCAGAACTGCTATCCATCCATCATGGTCAACTGAGAGAATATTAAATTATTGGTCTTCTTTGAGGTTTTTTTTCATTCACAGGTATAAAGATCATTCACAAAATGCGAATGTGAAAACAGCTGTCACAGTTACTATGGAAGCATTGCTCTAGGTAAAATCAAGACTGGTCCTAACACTATACAAACCTGTCTAAAATATCTTTATGAAACCGAACTCTGGCCCTTGTATGTAGGCCTACTTGTAAAAAAATAAAAAAATAAAAAATTTAAATTCTGCTACGATATTTTTAACTACGGTATTTTTTAAATTTTTTTTTTATTTAATTCTGAAAATTATTTGCCAAGACAGAATCACGGTAGGCGTGGTTCTCTCTGATACATATCCGACTTTAGCTATTTTATTTAGAGATGTATGTAAAAGTAACCATATTACAGACCTGTCCTGTGTACCTTTAACTCGGGCTGCAGGAAGATATCCAGCAGTGTGCGCTGGCGGGTGATTTCCTCCTCGTAGGCCACCATAGTCTGCACACACGCTCCTAAAACCTCCTCCACAGCAGCAGCCAGTCGCTCCTTCACTAACCTCCTCAAACTCTCCACCGCAGACATTTTCAATCAATTATTATTGAATTTATTAGGCTGGAACTCAAACACTATCCTCCATTCGTCACCAAACTAAACAGAAACGCGTTCTTTCCTGTCGAAGCTGTTTACTGTTTATCGATTTACACATCAGAGATAAACTTTACCAAAATTGAAAGAGGGCGGTCTCAAGCCGGATGTGACAGGTGCTGAGCGATAGACAGGCAGATTATACCTAAAGTGACTCACGATTCATGTCTCTCCATCAATTGCCCAAAATGTAAAGTACAAGCATCGACATTACAACCACACCGGTTAAGGAAAAGAGCTCAGTAGACTTTATTCAGATTGAAGGAATAAAATATTCAGAATACATTCAGTTAGTGTGTTTTAAGAGCAAGCTGCAGGTTAGAGAGATAGGCTGTGCTTATAAAACCAAACCTGTTACCAAAAAGTGAAGGTATCAAGGCAGCAATGAAGTAATGTCTTTTCTCATTCCCAATAAAATCAACAGTATAAACTCTGAATAAAACAATGATCATTAAATTAATTACATCAACCATTTCTGTGTGTGTGTTTGTGTGTGTGTGTGTGTGTGTGTGTAACTGTTTGTATGAAACTTTGATGCTTCATGAAAATGCAAAACTGCATTGTTCAAAACCATTTCCAGGTTTTTGACTATTTCTCAGTAGAACGGTCTTTATGCCACAAATTAGTAAGTGGCTTCAGAAAATGAGAGGCAACAGATTCATCCGAACCAAGCAGAAGATTGCCCAATTTTCCCGGTTTCTGAACAAGATTCCCATCATTCAAACCTTTGGTAAATACTGAAATACATTTATCAACAACAACTTGAGCATTTGCTTAAACTGAATTCCCCAAAGTTACCATGTTGATATACAATATTCATTTTAAGTCACTATAATGACATGGTGCCAGGCATAGACCCTCAAAAGTTAAAAAACATTCTTAATCTGAACACCAGGTAAGTCCGAAGCAAGCGGACTAATACATTTAATACCTGCAGCTAATACAAGGCATTATGATTAAGACCTTGAAGTAAAAAACCAAAAAAAAACAGAAAATTAAAACCGATTTTCACAGATTTTACACATCAAAGTCTGTCTACAGGTCTTGATTATTACTACTGCAGATGTGAAAAAAGTTTGTGGCTCCCGAGGGAGCTGCTTTGAGTCTGTTAAACTGTCTCAGGTGACCTCACTTGAGGCAGTGTCATTGAGTTGACCGAAGACTACTGAACACTGAAGTGAAGAAGTGAGCTTGTCAGACGTCTTCAGCCTGCTCCTAATCAGCTCAAGGCTACCATGCATGTCCCATGTAAGTGGATACTGCATTAGAGGTGGGGTTCTGTTTGCATGAAAGTCGCTCTGTGGTGCATGAAGCCAACAAAAAGCCACTTCCTGCCGTGAAGAAATGACCCCGATGAATGCATGCAAACGAGAGATTTTATCCACCGCTTTACAGCTGCTTCGTACACAATGTACGTCTATGGAAAAAGTGTTTTGCGCCTGTGCTTCACATGAGTTGTAATTACACAGTGTGGCCACTATGTCACAGTGGCTTCAAAGCCCAGTATGCTTCCTGTGGGCTGGGAGACTACTAGCACACCCAAAACTGTCTGCACTCTGTGATTTTGTAGTCACGAGATTGTCATGGAAGAGGGAAATACATTACAAAGATAATATCTCTGGTTCTGCTGCACTGATGTTGATTTTGTCCAGCAATGTTTTACAAGTGCAATGAAAATTTGGTGGAGTAGTTATCTTTAAATAAAATGTTAAAATATCAGTAGAATTTCTACTTTAGTGCAATTCATTTACTTTTATAAGTATTGCGTATCAAATGCCGTTTTGTTTTTAAGCAGAGGCGCTTTCCTCGTCACTTGTGTGGACTCTCTTGTGTTTGTTGAGTTTTGACCAAGTGGAGAACTGTTCTCCGCAACTGCTGCATTTGTAAGGCGTCTCCCCAGTGTGCATTGTCCTCATGTGTCCTTTCAGGTCCGTTCTATGACCAAACACCTTGTCACACACATCACACTTGTATGGCTTTTCACCTGTGTGCGTCCTGTTGTGCCTTTTCAAAGTCGTCCTGGTAGCAAATCTTTTCTTGCAAAAGGAACACTTGAAGGGCTTTTCTCCCGAATGCACTCGCAGGTGATTTTTGAAAGATGAAGAATCTGCGAACTCCTTCCCGCAGTCACTGCAGGTGTAAGGCTTCTCCCCCGTGTGGATTCTCTTGTGCTTCTTCATATTCACTAATGAGCTGAAGCTTTTATCACAGGTGTCGCATTTGTAAGGCTTTTCCCCGGTGTGAACCCTTACATGCAGATCGAGGTTATAACGTCGGTTGAATCCGTTTCCGCAAACCTTGCATTTAAAGGGCTTGTCAACGGAGTGAATTACTAAATGTTTATTCAAATCCCAACTCTCCCTGAACATTTTCCCACAAGTGTCGCATTTGTAGCGCTTTTCAACAGTGTGGGATTTCATATGAAATTTGTAGTTTTTGAAATTAGTCATCACTTTACCGCACCTGTCACACTTGAAAGGGTTATCCTCATCCTGGGCACTACCGCCTGAAGAGTTCCCACTTTTTTTCCTATTTGATGGGGGGCTGGTATTTCTGTACGAGGCTGTGCTCTCATTATCAAGTTTCTCACTTCTGGTTGATGTATTCTCTTTACATCTCTTATTTGGTGTTTGGTCAGGACCTCCATTTGATGTTGTGCTCCCATCGTTTGGTCTCTTATGAGGTCTGGACTGTTTACTCCTTGTAGACATTGTGTTTTCTTTGCTGGAATTCTTATTTGGTGTCAACTCATTACTTCTGGTTGATATTGTGCTCCCATCGTTACGTTTTTTACTTTGTGTTTGCTTAGTACTTGTAGCGGATGTTATTTTGCCATCTTTGGGTTTCTTAGATGGTGTTGGTTCAGTACTTTTAGCTGATGCTGTGCTCTCACTGTTATTTTGCGATGGCTCACTACTTCTGGTAGACGTTGCTTTACCATCATTGGGTTTTCTACTGACTGTTGCATCAGTACTTTTAGCTGGTGTTGTCTTCTCATTTTTACATTTCTTATTTAGTCTTGGCTCATCATTTCCGTATGATGTTTGGCTCTCATTATTACGTTCCTCATTTGGTGTTAGTTCAGTTTCCCTATCGGATGTTGCAGTCTCATCGTTACATTTTTCATTTGTTGTGGATATAGTACTTTTAGTTGATGTTGTGTCTTCAACATTATGTTTCTCATTACGTTTTAGCTCAGTACTTCTGGTAGATGCTTTATTCCCGTGGATGCGTTTCCTAGTTGGTGTTTGTGCAGTATCCCTATTTGATGTGTTCTCATCATTACATTTCTTACGTGGTGTTGTTCCAGTACGTGTAGCTGATCTCGTCCTCTCATTGTAACATCTTTTGTTTGGTGTTGGCTCAGCACTTCCAACTGAGACTGGTCTGCCATCTTGGCTTTTCTTATTTGCTGCTGACTCACTATTTTCTTCCGATGTTGGGTTCTCATCCTTCTGTTTGTCATTTGGTGTTAGCTTGGTGCAGCTGCTTGACGTTGTGGTCTTATCGTTACCTTTCTTCAGGGTTGTTGGCTCAGTACTTGCAGCTGATGTTGTTTTTCCATTATCTGGTTTCTTTTGTGGTGTTGTCTTAGTATTTCTGATTGATTTGTTATGATCATTAGGTTTCTTATGTAGTACTGTCTCACTATTTTCACTTGATTTTGGGTTCTCTTTGCTTTGTTTCTTATTTGTTTTTAGCTCAGTACTACTGGTTGATGCTGCATTTTCGTCAGTACATTCTTCACGTGATATTTCCTCAACACTTGTAGCCGATGTTGTGTTCTCATCTTGGCTTTTCTTATTTGGTGTTGGCTGACTATTTTCTTTTGAAGTTAGGTTCTCATCATTCTGTTTGTCATTTGGTGTAAGCTCTGTGGCTCTAGTTGATGTTGTGGTCTTATCATTACCTTTCTTCTGTGGTGTTGCCTCAGTAGTTGTAGCTGATGTTTTTCCATTGTCTGGTTTCTTTTGTTGTGCTGTCTTAGTATTTCTGACTGATGTTGTGCTTTGATCATTACCTTTGTTATCTAACGTTGTCTCACCATTTCCACTTGATGTTGGGTTCTCATTGTTATGTTTCCTGTTTGTTGTTAGCTCGGTACTACTGGTTGATGCCATGTTCTCATCACTGCATTTCTTATTTGCGGTTTTCTCAGTTGTAGCTGACGTGCTCTCAGTGTTGCTTTTATCTGAGGTTTCCAAAGTGCTTGTAGCTGATGTGTTCTCATCTTGGCTTTCCTTATTTGCTGTTTGCTCACTGTTTTCTTTTGATGTTGTGTTTTCATCATTATGTTTCTCATTTGGGGTTAGCTCTGTGCCTCTAGTTGATGTCTTATCGTTGCATTTCTTATTGGATGTCTGGTCAGTACTTGTAGCTGATGTGTTCTCATCTTGGCTTTTCTTATTTGATGTTGGCTCACTATTTCCTTCTGATGTTGAGTTCTCATTATGTCTCTCATTTGGTGTTAGCTGTGTATCTGTGCTGCTGGTTGGTGCTGTGGTCGTAACATTACATTTCTTATTTGGTGTTGGCTCATTACTAGTTTCTGATGTTGTGTTCTCATTGTTGCTTTTGTTATCCGATGATTGCTCTGTACTTGTAGCTGTATGTATAGTTGGTGATGCACCTCCATCTGTACAAGTTATGTGATCTTGGCTGTCAGCTTCATGGGAGTTGTGAGAGATGAGCTGCTGGTCACTGTTTGGTGCCAATGGTGCAGAACTATCTCTGTCAGATCCAGATAATGTATCTTTGTTTGAGATGCTGGATCCAGGATCTTTATCCGCTGTTTGGCCAGGGTCCAAAGCCTGGGACTGATCACTGTGGACACTTTCCTCACAAGTGGAAGTCTTTCTAGAGGCATCAGTCTCCTGTTGCTGTGCACAATGCGGTTGTTCCTGACTGACACACATTTCCTCATGTTCTTCTTTAATCTGTGGAGGATCTGATGGGACCAAACTGGAGCTTGCCTCCTTGTTAAAGCGCTGTTGCTGGTTCAGGAGAACCTCCCCCTCCTTACGGACATGTGTGAGCTCTAGAGGGAAACAACAAGGAATCAGAGAATGAAGAAATGCTGGACATATATTTAACTGATGTGATTAGAGGTCTATAAGAGGTCTGTAATGAGCAGTGCAAATTTGAAACAAAGCAGTTCCCTTGCAAAGGACTGAAAATGCAATTAACGTTGATAGTCACAGTTTCTGTCCTTTTTTGTTAATAAATCTGGAATGTTAACCTTAGACTAAATATATTAAAATACATACATATAAATTAAATGTCCCAAATGCTTCCGTCTATGACTGTGCTACATCATAACACAAAGACCAAATCTGTAATTATAAGGTATCATAGCCCTCATTGATGGCAGACAGCCATTTGGGTCAGATTATCTTAAAATAACAGTGCTGGGTTGATTGATATGGAGCCAGGACGGTGACTTTAAAATTTGGCATCCAAAAAAAAAATTGGCATTGAAAACAAAACCAGTACTGAAAAAGGAAACATTGGCATTGAAACATTTGTATTGAAAACAGTTGAATTGGCATTGAAACAAGTATTGGCACTGAAAAAAGAAACTAATTAAAATAATTAAAATCTTAAAATCTTATTATTCTATTTTATTGGGATTTTTTTGTATTTTTCAATGACAATCTTCAGATTTTTTTTCAGTGTCACTGATTTTTAGTTTCAACTTTCTGTCACTGTTTTGGCGTTGAGAGGAGGGGTCTGAGGGGAGGGGCAAGTAGAGCGTGGTTTGCATATAATTTGCATATTGGCATACTGAAGAAGTACGTCTCTTTTCCGGAACCCGCCATCCGCTCTGAACCGTGGTTTGGAAGTTCCCGGTGAACAGGACATTTTAGTAATGCCACCATGCCAGAGGCTTCAGAGCAAACTGAAAATGAGTGACACTGAAAAAAACTGACATTGTAAAAACATCTATCACTGAAAAAAGAGTGACATGAAGAAAAAATCTGAAGATTGTCATTGAAAAATACAAAAGAATCCCAATAAAATAAAATTAAAAAAAAAATAAGATTTTAATTATTTTAATTAGTTTCTTTTTTCAATGCCAATACTTGTTTCAATGCCAATGTTTCCTTTTTCAGTACTGGTTTTGTTTTCAATGCCAATTGTTTTTTTTGGATGCCAAATTTTAAAGTCACCATCCTGGCTCTATAGATTGATTGCTCTTTAATGTATGTTGACACTGGTATCTGGTTTATCCTGTAATAAGTTGAAGGTTCTAAAGTTGCCCTGTGTGTTGCACACGCTCCCTTTTAATTTTCAAATCCCACAAAAGTTGTTTAAAAGAAAAATATATGTATTTTTAGCTTTTTTTTTGCCTGGTTGGTCTATCTTGTCACTAAATGGCACGTCTAAAAAGAATGATACAACCACAACTGAATCTCAGATAAGATTCAGAAGAAGCAGTGAACTACATCCTCTTTTAGATGCCTTATGGGTAGAAAATAAGCCTCCAATCCAAGAGGCAGGTTTACCGACTTTACTGGATAACTTTGTTGAGTCAGTAAAATCTCAAACCATCTCAAAACTGGAACATGAATTTAAGTGGAAAGACTTTTTCCAAGCTTACAATTATCCAGGTAACTCAGTAAACCTGCTTCCTGGACAGCCTTTGGAATTGACATTGATCCATGCGATATAGAAGAGAGTGAGTGGCCTGTTTCAAAATCTGGAAAGATTTTCAGTTGCTTGAATATGTACTGTATATAAGTGCAGCTCAAACCTAATAGAGAAACGTTATACTAAACAATGCTTGCTAATTGCTAAATAGCAGAATCACAGTTTACCAGCCTCTTAAAGGTTAATGTTTGCAGTTTTTTTTTGACAGTAAACCGAATACCTTTGGGATCTGAACTGTTGATTGAAAAAAAGATGTTGCAATGTTTTTGATTCACTGATTAATGGAGAAAATTATTAGCATAATAATCCATAAATACAATAAATATTGCAGCCTGGTTGTTTTTAGTGATTCAGAAATAAATTATAGTTTCTCTTTCCTTCTATTTTTATTCTTCCTCAAGAAAAGGCCTGAATTCTGCAGTTCTTAACTTGTTGTCAGTGGTGGAAAAAGTACTCAGATCTAAAAGTAGCAATGTCCACAGTGTAAAAATACTTAAATTACTTCTGTAAAAATACATTTTAGCAGTAATATATACTCCATGTACTTGTCTGTAGAATGGTGTGAGTGACATATTTCATTATTATATAACAGCTAATATTGATGTATTAATGCATAAGTACCATTTTACTGTTGATGCTGGTTGAGGTTGAGCTCATTTAGGTGATTAATGAGGTAGGAAAGAACAAAAACAACTTTCTGCTGCAAATATTTGAATTTATTTTTGGGAACTTCTGTTTTCTGAAATATTGGATAATGGATAATTTTTCCTGTTTGGAACTCCAACAGGTATTTACATGAAACCATCTGGTAAGTTTGATTTCTGAGGACCAACAACTCAAAGACATCTGAAAAATGAGGACCAACAACTCAAAGACATCTGAAAAATGACACCCGTGTGAGTGTTCACAACAGGCCAGAAGAACTGGGAACAAGGTGGGACACAGACAGACAAATGGTCAAAGTCACCAGCCATATAATAGTCCATCATTATATTGCGTCTGAAATGTACCACCCACTTTCATACCTTCCCAGTGTTTCCCACCATGGTTGGGAAGCTCTGGTTTAATCTTTAACAATACAGTGCATTGCATAAGGTTTTATAACCACAGACTAATAACTGTCACTGTCCAAAATATGAGGCTAGATGTCAAATTAAAGTACAATATTGGCTCTGGTAGTGGGAGTAGTTTTCACCATTGCTTGTTTTAACAGAAATATTTCTGACATACCAACAGTAGGCGAGGCTGGTGGCAAGTTTTAGTATGAGCCGTTTATTATCTTCAAGTTATTGCCCCCCAGGGGGTAGGACCAAAGTATGATGGCAACTTCCGCATGTAGTGTGGCTTCACGTGTCAACATGTGTTGTGATAGTTATTATTTGTCTTAAAAAAAGAAAATTAAAGTGGACTAACACTTTAGACCTATCTATAGCAACTGAGCGACGTCCTTACGTTACAACCAGTGCATTATTCTTTAGAAACCCGGTGTGTTATAGCAGTCAAACCGGTCAGTCTGTAAGCTGATACTCGACACAGACGAACATTTAATGTGAATGGACCGAGAAGTCAGACTGTTTGACAGAAAAGTGGCTTCATTAGAGAGAACTTGGTGATTTTACCAACCTGCCGGGTGTAACTTGGTCTCAGGAGTTAAAGCGGAGTCCAACAGTCTGCGTTGACGAGCGATTTCTGCCTCGTAATCTTGTATTTTCGTTTCAAACGCTCCCAGTATTTCTTGTGCAGCTGCAGTTAGCCGATCACAGACAAACTTTCTCATACTTTGAACTGAAGACATTGTTGAATCAAAACTGATATACTTTTTTTCCCCCCTGTTAAAACTCCATCAAACTCTTTTTTGCTAACTGGACGTGAGTTCCCAGTTTCCTTTTTCACTTCCGCTTTAGATCCTCCTCTTCTTCTACTTGATGTTTTATGGCAGTTGGCAAACCACGCTATGGTGCATTACCGCCACCAATTGGTATGGAGTGTGACTCGGGACTCTAGCTTCAACTTCACTACTTCTACTAATAAAAATAATAAAATATATAATAATAATAATAATAATAATAATAATAAATCTATATTCTCTCTCTCTCATAATTCAACTTTATTTCTTTAAGTTTCAGTGTAAGTTCCCACCTCTCAGCATGACATTTTGCACAGTAAGCATCATATGTGCTATTTTTTCTTCTTGATTACAAAAACCCACACCTTCCCTACCTTATGTTTTCCTATTTTAAATAATGTACAATCAAGAGATTACTTAGATAATTAGAATCCTACTCTGCTTATGGTGATTATCCATACCAAATTTGGTTTCAAAGAATGGTTAACAAAAAATATACATTTTAAGATTTGACAAGCAAATTCGGAGTGACAGATCAAAGACACCATAATGTAAGTCATTAAATGTAACAATCAACATGATAAGTCAATTTCTTGACTTTCAACAATCTACTCCTGAGAATACATAATACTGGATAACAGCACATGTAAACCTACATATGAAGTGCAGTGTGATGTTTTTGACCCACTTGAGTTAAAGCAATTGTTAATGTATATTGCTGGGGATTCCCTCAGAGCCAAGAGTGAAGAACATAAAAATAAAACTCACTTGACATCCAGCAATGGACACACCGAGAAGCATATTTAATGTAAGATGATAATAATAATATCAGAACATTACACAAAGGTAATCTGGGGTGTGGAGGGTACTCACACAAGTAATGCAACAGAAGAAAATAAAAGACAACAGGCTGTAGAGGTAGAGAAGATGTTCTCATGCTCCTCATAGAAAGAATTTCTCCATCGGGGATTGATAAAGTTAATCTTATTTTATAGCTGCATGCCTCAGACCTAAACATCTTTCAACACTGACAAATACAGTGAACGTAATGCAGTCAAAGTCAGGTGTTACTTGTTAGATGCCTTGTTTAATATTGAGTCTGCAATGCCTGTCAGTCTACATCTTCCCCTCTTGTCAAATGAGCTGATGCCCTTGTAGAGTCTACAACTAATGATTATTAGTTTTACATGTTGGTCTCATGTTTGAATAAGCCCCTGAGTCAATCATTTCCAAATCTTGAATCTTCCTTTCTCAGTCGGACCTAAAAAAGTTTCTGCAACTTCTGCTTCCAATATGGCACAAGTTTCATCTGAATCCCAACAGTCTAATCTTACTCTGTGTTGAGTTTTAAACTTTTTGAGCATTTATCAAAAGAAATCTCAGCTCTGTTGTTTTTCCAGCGTGTGGATCTTCCTGTGCAATCTCAGTCCTGTGTTTTGAGCAAAATTCTTCCCACAAATGTCGCATTTATACGGCTTTTCCCCCGTATGGACTCTGGTGTGTATTTTCAACGTTGTGCTGACAGCAAACCCTTTGCCACACCAGATACAGTTATAAGGTTTCTCCCCTGTATGAACCCGGACGTGATCGGTGAGAGACGAGTGGTAAGAAAACTCCTTCCCGCAGTGAACGCAGCTGTATGGCTTCTCCCCCGTGTGAGTTCGGTTGTGTCTCTTCAGGTCAGTGCCACGGCTGAAACTTTTCCCGCAGGTGACACAAGCGTGGGGCTTTTCGCCTGTATGAGTTCTCGTGTGAGTGACACAGTTTGACTGACAGTTGAATTGCTTTCCACAAACTTTGCATTTGAAGGGCTTTACCCCCGTGTGAGTCATCATGTGTTTCTTCATCCGTGCCTTCTGGGTGAAACCTTTCCCGCAAGTGTCACACTTGAAACACTTTTCACCGCTGTGGGTCCTTACGTGAAGTTTTAACTTAAAGAAATCATGAAACTCCTCAGTGCAAAAGCGACATTGGAAATGTTTGCTCGCTTGGCTTCCTCTTTCGCCGTCTTGGGTTTTATCTCTGTGAGCGTTGTGAGGAAGGTGGTGGTCACCATTTGGTTCCTCTCTGTCAGATTCAGGTTTTGTTTCTGTGACTGAGAGTTTAGTGAGTGGTGGGGGATTCAAAAGTAGAGCCCGATCTTCAACGTGATCACTTCCCTCACAAGCAGGCCTAAACTTGAATGGTTCAGTACAGGTCTGCTCCAGTACGAGCTGCTCTCCCTCCTGACTGGTGCAGAGCTCCTCCTCTTCCTCTTTAATCTGTGGAGGCTCTGGGTCCTCATGGTCCAGACTGGAGCTCCTCGCCTGAATACAGAGCTGCTGGTCAGCGAGCACCTCCTCCTTACAGACAGACCACTGTGAGATCTCTGAAGGGAAGGACAGGAGAAGCACTCTTAGTGTCTTAGTTGTACGGGTTAAAAGAGCCCCTGTGTATAGCTACGAATCCTCCAGTAGTGAAAGAAGTATTCACGTCCTTTACATGTGCACATAGTAATACCACAGTGTAAATATATTCTGTTACAGGTCAGAACCTTTAAGCAAACTTTCATCACTTCATCTCTCATTGTAATGATCATTATCATATGAATATAAAATAAGTAAAAAGTAAACAGTGAAAATTAATACAATAAAACATACTTAAAAGAATATATGCAGAAACTGAATGAATTAGTTAATAAATGAAACAGATTCTGCATGAAATAAATAAGTAGAATAAAGGTGGATGACAAACCTGTCCTGTGTAGTTTCAGCTCTGGCTGCAGAACGACATCCAGCAGTCTGCGCTGACGGCGGATCTCTTCCTCGTACACTACGATCGTTTTCTCAAAGACTCCCACTATTTCTTCAGTGGCTGCAGTCAGTCGCTCATGGACAAACTTCCTGAGACGCTGGACAGAAGACATTTTGAGCGGAGTAGTAGTTTTTGTAAGGTGAACAGGTCAACTGAGGCAGTTTAAAACGCGGTCTCTGCTGTAAACGTATGCTTACTTCCGCCGGACTCAATACGATGTTACTCTGATTTAAAGGGAACGCGCTTGTTAATGTCTGCAACAAGTCAATGGTTCCGGTCAACACAAGTCCTAATAAGCAGGCAAAAACCAAACGGCAGAGAAAATACCTGCGTGACAATTTTCCTCCACTATTAAAATATAGTAATAATAAAAATAGATTACCAATTACCCACAGTTAATAAATCTTAAATATCTTTCCACAAACAGGGCCATTTTAGCAACACACAGCCTGCCACCCTCGGAAAAAAACCACAACGTTTTCTGTAATCCTTGGATAATCATTGATTTGTCATATTATAGCTTTTCCAAAACTGCTTCATACATGAAGATCTAAACCACATTGACAGGACTAAAATGCCAGGGGAGAAAATCTGGAGCCTTTTATTCATTCATTATTTGACCTAAAAGTAGACAAATTTAAACATATTCAATTAAAACCATAATCAACTGGTAAAATAACACCAATATGCAAACTTTCTCAAAAACTGGAAAATACATTTCTATTTAATGTAGTTAAAAATGCTATAAAGCTTTTTTCTTTATTTTACCTCATACATTATACATTATATATTGTACTGGTCCTTTGGTGGATCATAATATTGGTATATGTATTTCATAAGACATCTGTTTCGACACATAATGATTGTGTAGTAGTGTAATCAAAGCTGTAGTGCAGGTAAAGATTTTTAAAGGACACTCAGGGTTTATATAACTCCAACCACTGTTAGAACAAGGAATCAATCTTTGGATATTTATAACATGTGAATTTTATTCAAGCACATGATATCATTCAGGATTCAAAAAATCAAAGGAAATAACAGCCTACGCCATTTCATTGTGGCTTTTTAGTGGCATTTTTCATACAGTCATTACCTCTAACATGTATACTACTTCCAACTTTCGCATGCAGAGCCATATGCTTCTTCAGGTTTGAGCAGGTGGTGAACGCTCTTTCACAAGTCTTGCATTTATATGGTTTTTCACCGGTGTGGATTCTGTAATGGACTTTCAACGTCGTGCTGACATTAAATCTTTTCCCACAAAATTGACATTCATAGGGCTTCTCCCCTGTGTGCACTCGGAGATGCCGTGCCACAGATGAGCTGAACGCGAACTCCTTCTTGCAGTATTTGCAGCGGTACGGCTTCTCGCCTGTGTGAATCTTCATGTGCAATGTCAAGTCCGTCCTAATTGTGAAACTCTTTCCACAAACAGTGCACATGTACTGTTTCTCGCCTGTTCCAACATGCTGGTTGCAGTCACTCTTTGGTGTTATGAGTTTTTTGTCAGATTCAGACTGCATCCATTCATCTGAAATGCTGGGCAGAGGTTCCCTCCCTGCTGCACTCCAAGTTTGATCAGGATCCAAAAATGAAGTCTCATCCTCACTGTGTTTACTGGCGTCATATGTAGGTTTTAACTTAAAGGCTTCAGTCTCCTGTTCCAGTGCAAGCTGCTCTCCATCCTGTCTGGTGCAGAGATCCTCCAGTTCCTCTTTAATCAGTGGTGGCTCTGGGTCCTCTTGGTCCAAGCTGGAGTTCCTCCCCAGGTCACACTGCTGCAGGTCAACAAGAGGCACATCCTTACAGCTGAATGGCTGTGGGAGAACTAAAGGAAAGGACAAGGGACATACTCTTTAGTGTAAGGATCTCCATGTGTCCCAAACATTGTACTAGGCTGGAGGAAGCATCCATAATTAATGACTATGGCTCAACATATTTTGCACAAGATTACCAAGATTGACTATTTCTCTGTCCTGTAACCCACAATCTGTAGTGTATTTAATGTCCATGTTTGGACGTGAGATATTTATATTTTAATAATATAAATCCCACATTTTTATTGCTGGAACGGGAGAAAGTTTGGCTTAAATGATTAAATCACTTATCAATATGTACAGTTTCATTCCCATCAACCGACCGATCAGCACTAGTCCTACTGAAAAGAAACTGAGTTGATACCACAGTATTCATGAAGCCATGTTTGTTTATACATATAAAATACAGTAGCCTACCTGTTACACCAGCTGTGTATTATCTTACCTGGCCTCGTTGTTTTAAAAGGGTTAATCCAGGTTAGTTAGCTTGTTAGCTAAGTCAGTAGATGGGTCTGTTATTATGAGACACCTCCATGTTTGTTAGTCTGTACATTACGGCCTTTTTCTGTCCTTCTGTGCGACTTTAAAGTAGAAACAGTTCAATATGTCGATATAAAGTAATATCTAATTCAACTTTTCATCAATAAACTTTAAGAAACACAATGTTACACACCGGTCCTGTGTAGTTTTATCTCGGGCTTCCGGACTACATCCAACAGTCTGCGCTGACGAACAATCTCCTCCTCATACACTGATAAAGTTTTTTCAAAGACTCTGAATATTTCTTCAGCAGCAGCAGTCAGTCGCTCGTTGACGAACTCCCTCAAACAATGAACTGAAGACATTGTCACTGTGTAACAGAGAAAACAAACAAACACACAGCGCGGTCAAATACTAGCGACACACCGATCTCCGTTCCCCCTTTACGTTTGTGTTGAATTTCCGTCGGACCCAATTTAATGTTACTCCAACCTTCCGTCGGACGCTTACACGTCATTCTGCTGCCATCTTCTGGACCTAGCTGGTTATTTACAGTCTATAAAAGATATCAACTATGTCCTGTATTAATGTAGTGCGTTAACACTGTAAAATGACAGAAACATTGTTGTTATTGTGGCTGTATGTTTAAAACATAAAACAAAACATAACTGAAAATTATTTTCCATTTATGCCAATAGATCCTCCTAAATGTTACACACTGGACCTTTAAAACCTTTGAAAACAAAACCATCTGCATGGCTAGGTACCTGTATGAATGAATAAGTAAGAAAAACGTTGTAATACTTTTTGTAATTTAGTTATTTAATCCATTTAAAGTGCTCTGACTGCGTACGGCCTTTTACCTGAGTGAGTTTCCAGGTTTCTTTTCAAACTGATCTTATGCTTGAACGCTGTATCGCAAGTGTTGCATTTGAAAGGCTTTTCATCATTGTGGGTTCTCTTGTGAGCACTTCATGCAGTCAAGGGATAATACATTGTACCGCAGCTGTTGCACTTGAAGCTGCTCTTTTTTACCTCGAGTTGTTTTAATGTGTCTTGCACTTCAAGCCGATCTTGCTTTGCCATGAATGTGTCCTTTGTGATCTTGGCTCTAAGCTACAAGTTATTAGCTGCACTATGACTACAACATCTTCATCCAGCTCATTCGTGCAGCTTGTGTTGTTTACTTCCACTGGATGTCACACTGTTAAGTTGTGTGCTCTCTGTACTAAAAGCTACAAAGTCAGGACAACTTGGACTGAAGTGAAGACTGACCAGAGGTAGCTACAGGTTGTCATCATACATGAAATGAGAATTAAAGCAATTCATTCTTCTTCTTCTTCTTCTTCAAATTGGACAATAGTTTATAAAAAGTCTCTTTATTGCTTCTTCTTTTTTCTCGGTTTACTGGCAAATTACCAACAAATGTAAAGCGTAATATCACATCATCTCAAATTCCACACACACACACACACACACACACACACACACACACACACACAGCTACCTCGTTTTGGATGCACAGGTAAATACGCTGTCTATATATTTGTATTTCAATAATCTGAATATTTCCTCCACCACTGGTTATGTTGCAATATTATATTATAGAAAATCATTATCTGCCAAATAGCCCACAAACACACACCAGTTAAAGGCAGTAGAAAGTAGTACCAAAGCGAGGTAGATGTACAGCACTGCTGCTCATATTAAACTCAGGTTTAGGATAAAATGCCATCAGCTGAAAGCGGAACAAAAATCTCCTGCGCGTCCCCTGTCGGACCTTAACAGTGTGACATCCAGCGGAAGTAACGCTACTAGCGCCCATATTGAATAAACTGGATTGTAGTCCTAACGCAGTTGATTTAATTCCACTTGGATTTGAGCAACAATGTGTGCAGCTGAGTGTCTGAGAGAGTTTGTCAGCGAGAGACTGACTGCTGCTGCTGAGGAGATATTCAGAGTGTTTGAAACAACTATCGGCCAGTATGAGGAAGAGATCGGTCGTCAGCGCAGACTGCTGGAGATTGTGTGGAAACCTGAAATAAAGTTACAAATGATCGGTGTGTCATTATTATTAATTATTTATACACAAAACATAGCAATCTGACTATATAATCCAAATTATTCGCTTGCATGTCAGCATTTTGTTTTTCTTTACCATCCTAGTAGTATCATTTATTGTGTTGTTGCTGTTGTTGTTGTTGTTCTCTGTCCCTCCAGAGCTCCCACAGCAACATGTCTGTACACAGGAGGAGGAGGAGGAGGAAGAAGAGGTGCTCGCTGACCAGCAGCTCTGTATTCAGAAGAGGAGCTCCAGTCTGGACCAAGAGGACCCAGAGCCTCCACAGATTAAAGAGGAAGAGGAGGAGCTCTGCACCAGTCAGGAGGAAGAGACTGACCCCTTTATGTTGACTACTGCTTATGAGGAAAATGACCACCAGCTCCTCTCTTACAACTCTCATGTAGCTGAGAGCCAAGATCAGAAAAGAAACAAGCACGGAGACTCAGAGCCAGAACCAAAGAAAAGGCACTGTAAAAGCAAAAGTCACAGTAACAATGTTTACAACACTAACTTGTTAGACATTCGCGGCAATACTCACACGGATGGAAAGCCTTTTAAATGTGACACTTGCGGGAAAGATTTTAAGCACAGATCAAAACTGAACGTGCACCTGAGAGTGCACACAGGTGAGAAGCCGTATTTGTGCAAAACCTGCGGGACAAGATTCATCGACATCTCAATATTGAAAAATTTCCGACTTGGCGTTGTCTTGAAAAGGCAAATGAAGACTCACACAGCTGGAAAGACGTCCCTCTGCTGAACGTGGACGGAGTGGCTTGGTGGTCCACGTGAGAAGAGCCGAACACTAAAGGGAGGCCAGATCTCTACAGCATCTGTGGAGAAAGATTCTGAGTGTTTGGTTTGTCCAGGCACATAAGATGGCATACAGGCGGGTAGCCTTGTGTTTTCACAATATGTGGGAGGGGATTCAGTTCTAGTGTTTCGTGCTCAGAAAACACAAGAATTCACACCAGTGAGGAGCTACAGAGTGGAGAGCATTTTTTTTTTTTTAGTTCAATCTTTAAAATGGTCTTAATGTCCATGTACCTTAAATAATCTGCAAGTCAGATTTTACAGTTGAGAGTTTTATATTACAATATACTGTAAGAAGTCTTATTAAATACGAACATGCCTTCTTTTTGCTATTTTATACAGTAGCTCACTCATGTGTCTCACCAACAGGTTAAAGGCCAAGGTTGTTTGCTTGATAAATGACTTAAAACTGATTATCAGAATTCAAGATTCAAGAGGTACAGTAAGAAACACAGTGGTTTATACGTACAATGAAAAACTTACTTTGCCCAACTCCCTTTAGACAACACACAAATAGAAGAGAATAAAGTTTAAATATTAAAATTAAAACATAACTAAAATAAAACGTATAACTTAAAGTGCAGAACATTGTACAGTAAACAAAGAAACCTGAAGAATTGAGAATTGATGCCATTTGATTTTAAAGAATAGCATTGATGTATGACATGAAAAGGCAGATCTAAGACTACACAAGAGATATCAGAAACAGCAATAAATCACGCTAACAGTGTATCATTTTACTGTGTTAAATTCACTTTAACGCGTCTTTGAAATGTCACATGTGGGAACTTTAAGTTAACTTTAAAGTTAAAATTGCAGACACACCAGAGCGTCTATATAAATCCATATTCTTGCAAAACATGGGTAAAGATTCAGTCAGACATTGAACATTGAACGAAGAATCCATGCAGGTATTATCGGTTTGTTGGTCCACATGAACTCACACAAGGTTTCAGCTTTGTATTTTCATACATTACAGTATGTTTGAACATCAACAATCATATTGTGGGAAGTGCACAGTAGTGGCTGTTATTCTGATGGTGTAATGTGGATGACGGATTGTTGTTGGATTAAAGCATTAAATGTTTTTAAAAGTGTCGTGATTTGTTTTTATGGAATCAGATTACAATGGATGCACACAGAAGGATTTACAAATGTGTTTCATGATTTACCAAAAATAATTCCCTTTCACTCGTACAAAACAAACGTATGCATGTAAATAAATGTGATAGGAATCCACAAATATATGTATTTAAAATTTGTATGTATCAATTTTCATCAAAAACAGATTTGCACATACTGCAGTAACCTCAAATCAATCCGTTCAATTTTTTTCAAAAGGAAATAATCTGTAGCCTAAGAAACACTTAATTTAAATGGAGTGAAGTAGAAGTGTATGTAGCAAAATGAATGTAAAACAGAGAAAATATACCTCAAATCGATCAGATTTTTTATTGGAAGTGTTTTAAGATTTCATACCTGTGTGGAATTTACATGCAGTCATGGCCATCTGAGAACAATCAATGTTGTGTAGTTACAGTACTTGAGTCAATGTAGTTATACTGGTGAAAGAACTTAACACTGGAGTAAAAGTGGCAATAACACAGCTGATGTGGAAAAACCTTGACTTTTGCCTAATCTTCACTTGAATAAAAGATGAATGAATAAGAAGATGAATAAAATAATAAACTCAATGAGCCTCAGTTGTTCTTACTTGAACGTATACGTTTATTACAACACAAATCTGATATCAGAGCAGATCTGCATGTAAACAGTGACATAGTCAAAGACCAAAAACTCAAACTAACATTCACTCAGCTTTATACAGTATGTCCCTCTTCAGATTATACAGTAACGTATAACAAGACACACAAAGCCTCCTAGTGAAGGACTCTGAAGTGTCTGTCTTGTTCCTTCATATTCATACATTTATACCACAACAGTGTAAAACTACCCTGTGCACTCAAAATGTTAGTAAACATATTACTGTCCAAAAAAAATGTAAATTAAAGTACTGATGCACAATGGCCCCTGTTAGAGGACATTTTTAGTAACAGCTGAAGTGGAGCTATTTTATTTTTTATCTAGTTGTCATAATGTTGGGTAGTTAAACAAGGCATCATATTTAATAAGCTAATTATATGTTTTATGTATGTAATTAGCACACTATAGCTGTCACGTAAATATAATTGCCTAAAAAGTGCAATATTCCCTGTGAAGTGTAGTACAATACAAGTCTATGTAACATACAATGAAAGTGCTCAAAGAACAAATACCTCAAAAGCTCCAAGATTCCATATCTATGTGGAATTTACACGTGATCATGACCATGTGAGAACAATCAATGTTACTGCAGCACAGTACAGTCAGTGTAGTTACAGTACACCACTACCAAACAGGATCATATCATACCGATCCTCCCTCTGCAGCATTAATACACCTCGTGCATGTTTGCAGCTTTGATGAACAGAAATTAGCTTTCAACAGGAAGTCATACACTCAGCAGAATCTTTTCAGGGGTTTCACAAGGTGTTGCGTTGCTATGGTTTCTCACCAGTGTGGGCTCTTCTCATATGGACCAACAAGCCACTGCAACAGCTGAAATCACTTCCACACATTTTACAGAGGTACGGCTTCTCGCCCGTGTGGGTTCTCATGTGGACTTTCAAGACACTGTGGAGTCTGAAGTCTTTGCCACACGTCTTGCACGAATAGGGCTTCTCGCCCGTGTGGATTCTTATGTGGGCGTTCAACTCTGATGTCCGACAGAATCTTTTCCCACACGTACTGCAGGTGAACGGCTTCTCGTCTGTGTGGATTCTCATATGCCTCTTCAGTGGCGGCATGGTGCAGAATCTTTTCCCACAGGTCTTGCAAAGGTAGGGCTTCTCGCCCGTGTGCGTCCTCATGTGAACTTTCAGGGGACTGCTGCACGTGAAATCCTTCCCACATGTTTTGCACAAGAATGGCCTCTCGCCTGTGTGGATTCTCACGTGAGTTTTCAGTACTGACATGTAACCGAATCCTTGCCCGCAGAACTTGCAAAGGTACGGTTTCTCACCTGTGTGCACGCTCAGGTGTCTCTGCAATTTTGACTTGAACTCGAAGGCTTTTCCACAAGTGACACACTGGAATGACTTTTTACCTGTGGGAGCGCTCCGGTGAACCTCTGACAAGTTCGGGTTGTATTGGTTGTTAGTGTGACTTTCACTTTTGTTATATGTTTTCTTTGGTTCTGGCTCTGAACCTCTTGTTGATCCCGAGTCTCCGTGCTTGTTTCCTTTCTGATCTTGGCTCTCAGCTACACGAGAGTTGTAAGAGAGGAGCTGGTGGTCACTTTCCTCATAAGCAGTAGTCAACATAAAGGGATCAGTCTCCAGCTTCAGCTCAAGCTGCTCTTCCTCCTGACTGGTGCAGAGCTCCTCCTCTTCCTCTTTGATCTGTGGAGGCTCTGGGTCCAAACTGGAGCTCCTCTCCTGAATACAGAGCTGCTGGTCAGCGAGCACCTCTTCCTCCTCCTCCTCCTCCTCCTGTGTACAGACATGTTGCTGTGGGAGCTCTGGAGGGACAGAGAACAGAAGGAATAAGACACTACTGGGATGATAAACAAACAAAAAGAAAGACAAGCCAGCAAACTACCAGTAGCGTTATATATTTATACCACTGTTATTATTATATAAATCGAAGGAATATGTTGTACTGACCTATCCGGTGTAACTTTATTTCAGGTTTCCACACAATCTCCAGCAGTCTGCGCTGACGACCGATCTCTTCCTCATACTGGCCGATAGTTGTTTCAAACACTCTGATTATCTCCTCAGCAGCAGCAGTCAGTCTCTCGCTGACAAACTCTCTCAGATAGTCCACTGAAGACATTGTTGTTTGATTCCACATGAAACCACTCGCTCCGCTGCGACTACAATGTCATCTTCCAGCTGTAATTCAACACACCGCTGCAGCTAGCGTCGCTAGCGCCTGTATTGTTTACTTCCGCTGAACGTCACAGTGTCAGGTTCCGGCCGCGGAACTGTTGGAGCTTTTAGTTCCGCTTTCAGTTCACTGTAGGGTTGGACATCTGTCTTTAACACCACGTTGTTTTCCTAGTTTTCTGTGTGGTTTTAATATATAACTGTAGATTGTACATTTGTTTTGTTTAGTTTTTTTGTTGATGAGATTTCAGATGTACAGACACTGTACAAATATGATGATACAGTGATTTTATTTTATATCAACAACAATAAACAAATACACATAACAAAAGAAAGGGAATATAAAAAAATCACAAAGCATATTAATTAAAAAGTTTTTAAATGAAAGACAAGGTAAAGAAACAAAAAAAATCACATTGTATGCAGGAATTGTACTCTTACATATACAGTATATATATAACTTACTTCTTTCTTTTACATAGTAATTTTCCAACCATTTTTCTTGTTCTAGCCTTATGGATCTAATATTTGCCAACAAGATAAATATGTTTGAGAGCATCGTTAATGGGTTGTGAGTCAGTATTACAATTGAGAAACAAGACCATGTCTTCTAATATGGGTGTCAATCTGTTAAAACTGTATGGCACTGTTGATAATGTACTACTTCATTACATGAAGATATTGTGACCTCTTAATTGAAAGTGTTTAATATATAATTATATTCAACAGTCACTTTTCCCACAGATGTTGCAGTTATAAGGCTTTTCACCCGTGTGGGTTCTCATGTGCACTTTCACGTCACTCTTAAGTCTGACAGTTTTCCCACATGTTTTGCACGGATACGGCCGTACACCTGTGTGGATCATTATATGCCTCCTCAATATCAATATGTCACTAAAACTATTCCCAGTTTGTGGTTTCTCGCCTGTGTGAATTCTAACGTGTCTATCCAATTTGGATTTATCCTTAAAACCTTTCCCACAAGTGTCACATATCAAAAACTTTTTATCTGGGCAAGTATTCAGGTGAATCTTACACACATTGTTACTGTGACTTTTGCTCTTTTGATGTCTCTCTTTTAGTTCAGGCTCTGCATCTCTAGCTGAACCTGAGTCTCTGTGCTTGCCTCCTTTGTGATCTTGGTTCTCGGGTACACAAGAGTTGTAAGAGAGGAGCTGCTGGTCAGTGTTTAGTTCTGGTACCACAGAACTTTTAACTTGTATGCTGACAATAGACTCCTCCTCAGCTGCAGCTAAGTCATGATTTAAACACACTGGCTGATCTTCTATGTGGTCACTTTCCTCATAAGCAGTAGTCAACATAAAGGGATCAGTCTCCTCCTTCAGCTCAAGCTGCTCTCCCTCCTGACAGGTGCAGAGCTCCTCCTCTTCCTCTTTAATCTGTGGAGGCTCTGGGTCTTCTTGGTCCAGACTGGAGCTCCTCTCCTGAATACAGAGCTGCTGGTCAGCGAGCACCTCCTTCTCCTCCTCCTCCTCCTCCTCCTCCTCCTCCTGACAGATATTCTGCTGTGGGAGCTCTGGAGGGACAAAGGAAGCTTGTGTGATGGGAGAAAAAACAGATCAAATGCATACAAGTCTTAAACTATTAGGATGTTACATGATTTCCCAGCATTCCCCTGTCGGTCCAACCTGAAATATGTCAACAACTACAGTACAGGGTGGACTGCCGTGAACATTCATTCATGTCCCCCTTAGATTAATGGGAATAACTTTAGTGATTAACTGGAGTTGTTTTAATTGTGACATACTGGAAAATGAATGATATTTGCCACAGCTGTTATTTGTCTTTAATGCCAGATCATTGGCCAACTGAAGCATGCAAACAGGCTGATGGACAACGAAAGATATGCTTATTATTATAGTTGTTTTTATATTCCATTTATTTTGTATGAATGTGAATTTACTTATTGTTGTTGATATTGGAGGTTCAAAATGATAATTTTTCACTGTATTGACATATTTGTACAATGTATTGTTTGTACATCTGAAATTTAATCCCCAAAAATGGCTTGCTGTTTCCGGGGGGATACATATAGAGACGGTACAGCTTCCTGTAGCAGGTTACTAGTGCTAGGCTAACTTATGTTGGCTTGCATTTTACCCGAAAAGGTGAATTAGGAAAGAAGACCAGATGTTTGTTTTTAGCTCAGGAGCTGAGCTTTAGCTTTAGCTTCTTTCCTGGTTCACTGTCTAAATGGGTGCGCATTACTGTGCCATATGTAGGCAAACAACATTCACTGGGAAGGGACATATCTTCGGAAAAAATCACCAAAGCAGACTCAGAGTGGTTCTCCTCAAGTTTTTAGAAAAGGTAAGTATGTTAGTGTAAGATGATTCTTACTGATGTTTAATATTTTGTGCTCATTTTTTCCACTTTGCTGAACCTGTTTGCGTGATTAGCCCCGATGCTAACGTTAGCAGCAAATCAGCGTATATTTTTATTATGTCTTGTACACTCACCGGTAATGTCTCTGTTTTTTGTGGGGTTTTGTGTGTAGTTTATTTAGTCTAAAATGTTGTAATGTACATTATTCATTTTAAATTGAATTACTCGTTTTATTTTTATTTACCTCACCATCGTTGCTTTTCTTTCCTGTTTTGTGTGTGTGTGTGTGTGTGTGTGTGTGTGTGTGACCGGTGCTGCTAGCCTGATGAGATACACTTGCCATTTTGTTTCACCTCATCAATTCAGTGACATAACAAGAGGTGGAAAACTAGTAGAAAACACCTGTAAATATAACCCAATATAATTCAACAACACCTCAAACTACATCCTCCAAAATGACCTAAACAGACCTTCACAAAGGGAGGATTCATTACAGCTGTTTTATTAGACTGCATCAGTTTTAAGTGTAACTTGTATGTGTCTGTGTTTGTTTCATCCACTGTCTCCCAGGTGAAAGAAGCTCGACGAACACTTAAAAAACCCCAAATAGAAAAGTTTGATTGCACCCAGCACAAGCAGACATTCTGGTGCTACTGCTGTGGGCTTGAGATTGAAAGAAATGTTACAGACGGCAAGATGACTGTGCTGTACGGAGGCTTGTTAGAACACATGGCCACGTAAGTTTTATTTAATTTACTTTTATTTAACTTTATTTTATTTTCACAGATTTTCTGCTTCACGTTCATTCACTGCAACCGCACAATGTTTGACTGACACAGAGCACGGAAAAAAATAGTACTGGCGTTTATAGTCTATCCCATAAAAGTATATGATCAAATATATTTTTATTGACATTTGCATGACCAAGCATTTACTGTACATGTGTCGCTCAGTGCTTTGTTAGACTAATGAAAAAGTACAATAAGCCAAGGGCTTAAGTAGGAAAGCTCAACAGGACATTTACTAATGTATAAAAGTATGTATATTAAAGAAGCAATTTAATACTGTAAATTAAATAGTCATCTGGATATCATCTGTGTTGTGTGTTCTTTATTAGTAAAAAAAAACAAACTTACAGTTTAGATGCAGCTCATGTTTCCCAAACTGTCGTCTCATGTTCATGCTTTGTCCATATAAAGTTTTGTGCTTTTGTTTTTACATTTAAAATTTATCTGGTTGCAGCCCAGAACACAGGAAGAATACTCACAAGTTCTGGTGGGAAAATAAGGCCGACCCCAAGTTTAGAGACAAGGTCATTATCGCAGAGGAGGAAACTGAAAGGTAGGCATGATGAGCCAAGAGTGTAAGGTTTGTTTGGAAAATAAAAGATTCTCTTCAAGGATCATTGTTTTTGTTTGGTTTTTGTTCAGGTTTAAAGCTGAAGTGGAAAAAGCATTGGAATCATTTGTGGAGAAGGAAGATGAATTCATAAAACAGGTACAAAATCACTCTTTAAAAAATGAATAAATTACTCACGGTCACAACATGCTGATGTGAAGCAGATCACCATGTTCACTGTCTTAGTTTAGTGTGCTAACATGCTCAAATTGGCTATGTAGCACTGACACAAAGTACAGAAGGGCTGACGTCATTAGTTTTGGTGAAAAAAAGTTATGATTTTATTAGATGAAAACAGGTTAACCATCAGCGGGCCATAATTACTGCAGTCTTTTATTATTATTACATTATTAGTACTCACATGACACTTCTGTTGGTCATATACTGTAGCATACACTCACTTCTTTCTCTATATATTGTCATATATTGTATTATAATGTACATACTTATTACATTTGACTATTTTCTATTTTAATCTTATATGTATATACCGATATATACATTTCTATGTTTTATTTCTAGGTATATTGTTAGATATTGTAATATATTTATTATTTGTATTCTTTAATGTCGTGTGAGCACCCTGAGTAGCTGAATCAAACGAGTATTTCTGATTCTGATGAATGTCTGTACCAAATTTCATGGTGTTTTAAAAAGGTGTCCTAACGAGTGGTATTTTAACAGGAATATGTGCTAATGGTCATCTTTTTCTATTTTCATGGCTGCAGCAAGCGGATCAAATACGGGCCCACGAGAAGCATCGTCAAGAGGTCCTTCAGTCTCTTTTAGAGGTTTGTTTTCCAAGGATGCAGTGGCCGTATCCATCACTGTGGCCATGGCTGTTGTCTTTCATGATTTTGAGTTGCATGTTAGATGGGAAATAACGCCAGTCTCCAGCTAAAGGATTGTAATTGCCAAAATAAGGTAACCAGTGATTGTCTGGAGATACTGTTAACTCCTAAAAACTGTGGCTGGTTAACCTTTTTATAATTTGGTGGTTTAAGGACAAAGTCATCAGGCTACGGTAAAAATGTAATACACATTGTAGTTCAAACCTAGATGGAGATGGTGAAAATGGATTGAAATTGGAAGGGAATCACAGAGACATGAATGGAGAGAGGTTTAAGTTGTGTGTGAGGATCAGGGGTGATGAGATGAAGCATGATTAGTGCGCAGACTTCTTCTATGAAACACTGTTGGCATTTCCTGAATCAATATCAGCGGGACGCAGAGTCGGAGTTGTTCAATGGACCCAATGGCACGGACATGTCTGCAGAGGATGCTGTCAGGTAACGTTGTGTCTACCTACGAT